TATTGGAGATGAGTCTCATGGACTTTCCTGCCTGGCTGGCTTTGAACCGCGATCCTCAGATCTCAGCCTCCTGAGTAGCTAGGATTACAGGCGTGAGCCACCAGTGCCTGGCCACTAGTTCCCTTTCTGAACTGTCTTTGAACCACTGTTCTCAGATCTCAGCCTTCTGAGTAGCTAGGACTTGGAAGTGTCAGTTACTGCTGCCTGGCTGGCCTCACCCTCAGTCTTTAAACTTGTTTGAATACAGTGTTACTCATTCTATCTGGAGTTTGTCTAGGGGAGTTTATGGTTCTCAGGTTTTTACCTGCTGACAAAGCCCAGGACTTTAGGAGGTACGGAGCTGGAATTTACTTTCACTTCCCTTTCAGTGGGAGTTGGGTAGAACAAGAATGCTGTTTATTTTGCCAGTCCTCGGGCTTGAATTCTGTTTCAGCTTCTTTTGCTAAAGGCTAGCACTCTACCACTTGAGCAACATTGCCACTTCTGACCTTTTCTGTTTATGTGGTGCTGAGGAATTGAACCCAGTGCATTTGTTCCTAGCCTGAATACTATATTGAGGAGCTGAAGTTACTTGCTTTTTTTTTTTTTTGGGTCCGGTTGTGGGGCCTGATCTCTCGGCCTGGGCGCTGTCCCTCAGCTCTTCAGCTCAAGCTAGCGCTCTACCACTTGAGCCACAGCACCACTTCCGGCTTTTTTCTTTTTGCTTAGGTGGTGCTGGGGAATCGAACCCAGGGCCTCAGGCATGCAAGGCAAGCGCTCTACCACTGAGCCACCTTCCCAGCCTGAAGTTACTTGAATAAGTCTTCAGATAAAAAGTGCGGTATGTATTCAATGACAGTATCTTAAAAATTGAGAAGCCAACCAGGTGCTGGTGGGCTCACACCTGAGGATCACAATTCAAAGCCAGCTAGGGCAAGAAAGGCTGTGAGACTTAGCTACAATAAACCACTCAGAAAACCAGCAGTGGTGCTGTGGCTCAAGTGGTAGTGTGCTAGCCTCGAGCTGAAAGAGCTATAGGACAGGGCCTAGGCCCAGAGTTCAAGCCCCATGACTGACAAAAATTGAGAAGCCAGCTCAGGCAGAGACCACTAGGAAGCAAAGTGGCACTGTGGGTCAAGTGGTAGAGTGCTATTGAACAAAAAAGCTAAGAGACAGGCACTTGGAGAATAAGTTGCAGGGATGGGCCATACCACCAGCGGCTTTTCTGGAAAGAACAGTTGGTGTTGCTGGGCACAGGTGACTGCCTCTTGTATTCCTAACTGCTCTGGAGACTAAATAATACCTGAAAACTGGTTCAAAGCCAGCCCAGACAGAAAAGTCAGAGACTGGAAGTGGAGATGTGGTAGAGTGTCAGCCTTGAGCAAAAAACATGCCTGATACACAGTACTGGTACACAGAATAGTTGCTAAAGGATTCAAGTTCAAGTTTTGGCCATTGTTGACATCTAGATTAGGATAATGGAGTGCCTTACAAAGGATTTTGAACCTAGAAATAATTAAATTGAGGGTCATTTGAAGTGTACTTAGTGCTAACAGTCAGCTAAAAAGAGTCAGATGGTAAGGGGTAGGAGAACCTAAAGGCAGTGTCTCCCTCTAATAGCTCAGGCTGGCCCCCAAGCAAAACTGTTCCAGCAGCTGCACACAACCTGGAAGATACCACCGCTCCTTTCCTCAGATGATGCCGATTTATTTTTTTTCAGTCATAGGGCTTGAACTGGGCTTGGGCACTGTCCCTCAGCTCTTCAGTTCAAGGTGAGCACTCTACCACTTGAGCCACAGTGCCACTTCCAGTTTTCTGGTGGTTAGTTGGAGATAAGAGGCTCATAGAGGTTCCTACCCGGGCTGGCTTTCAACCATGATCTAAAGATCTCAGCCTCCTGAGTAGCTAGGATTACAGGTATGAGCCACCAGCACCCGGCAGATGAAGCTGATTCTTAATGGAGGTGGTTGGAAAGAAAGCTGTTCCCTCTCAGTCCACCAGGATTGCTGCCTGAGCCAAAAGTGATGGCAGTGGACAGGAAAGATGGCTTAGAAGAGGAGTAGGCAGAAAGTGCTTGGGCAAGGCACTGCTGTGCAAGTTTCTAGCCCAATGGTGGTGAAGACCCAGGTGTCCAATCTTGGGGGTGGTAAACTGGCGCTCAGGCAGGCCCAGAGTTCATGCCCCATGACCAACCAAAAGAAACCTTCCAGCAGTGCTGGTTGGAATCCTGACTTCTCCCACCTCTGTGACTTTAGGTCATTTACATAATATCTAGGGTTTCCTTTGTCTCCACAAGGAGCTGTTAACCCCTTACTGTTAACAGCTTTCTGAGGATAGATAGAGCGCATGTACAGCACGGCCCACTGCTCAGGAATAGTTGGTCTTTCATCAGGCTTACTGGTATATCATAGGCACTGGAGTAATGGCTTAGAGTGGGTCTTTTTAAACTGGGTGCAGTGAAGTTGAGGCAGAAGGATCACTTGAGCTACAAGGCCAGCCTGGGCAGCATAGCGGTAACCAGCTCACGATGCCATTGAATAAATTAGAGTCTCCCAATCTTTTTTGCCCAGTCTGGTCTCAGACCATAGCCCCTAATTAGCTAGGTTTATAGCATGAGCCACTGTGCCCCATTAAACATGTTTTTCCCCCTGCACCAATCCTCTTAGCCACTGACTGTCTTAGCCTACTTCCTATAGCCTTCCTCTTGAATAGGAAGCAAGTCACATCCTTGTGCCCTTAGCCTGGACATATCCTCTGATGACCTCTTCCTAATCCTTAACTTTGCAGGGAGAGGCAGCCCTGGTTGTTTCTGTGGAGCTTGTGCTGGATGAGAGACTCCCAGAATTCCTGCTACCAGATGCTTTCCTCTTTTTTTTTTCTTTTTTTTTTTGGTTGATTGTGGGGCTTGAACTCTGGGCCTGGGCGCTGTCCCTGAGCTCTTCAGCTTAACGCTAGCCCTCTACCATTTGAACCATAGCACCATTTCTGGTTTTCTGGTAGTTTATTGGAGATGAGTCTCATGGACTTTCCTGCCTGGGCTCTTTGAACCCATGATCCTCAGATCTCAGCCTCCTGAGTAGCTAGGATTACAGGTATGAGCCACTGGTGCCCAGCTGCTTTCCTCCTCTTCTGCACAATCATATTAACCGTGCTGGGGAGAGCACAGGTACATTCTCAGAGGGAAGGGGAGGAAACTAAAGTATGGTGTGTGGGTGGTCATGACCTGTTCTGACCTGGAAACTGAGGAGAGGGAGTGATCTGTCCAATGTGGGGCCCTGTTTTAGAAAAAGAAAATGGTAGACAGTTTTTTTTTTTTTGACAGTATACAACTTGAAAGTATTAAAAGGAAGTTGGAGCATTGACTAATACAGAAGTAATCGGAAACTGGAAGCTGACTAAGTCATCCTGATTTTGAGTGGCTTTTTAGTTGCCTAGTTTGATTTTAACCAGAAACACTAGCACAGTTATTTGGTCATAAGAAATCTAAAGCTTAGGTTTTTAACCTGATTTGTGAGGTTCTCCATTATTATCTCTGACTTCCATGTCGTAAGTAAAAATGTGTCAATTAGAGAAACTAGATGTTTGCGGAAACCTTTCAGTTAAGCATAGTGTTGTACAGATGTTCACAAGGGTCCATGTAGGTGGTGTTTCCACCTTCATGGGCTGCTGACAGTAGTTCACGTACATAAATACAT